ACTTCAGGGAGTTTGGCTCCCACTGCCAGACCCCTCAGATCCAGTCCATCCGCCGTATTCAGCAGTAACAGCCTACACCAAACCCCCTTCTCCCATGTGACCCTTCACCTTCAACCCCTGCTGCCTCCCAGTGCTGAATAAACTGTTTTTCTTAAACCTTACTGACTTCCACCAATGTATCTGCTTATCTAAAACACAGACAGAAAGATCGAGGTACACATTCTGCTTGGTTTTCTGAATTACAGTCACTCTAAATAATCATGCTTGGGCTCATTAAAAAAAAAAAAAGAAAAAGCAAAATAAAATAAAAAAAGAAGCACAACAGTTTGCATCAATCATTTCAATTTCTAATGAAATTATGTTCAACCAACTAAACCAGCTGAAAATGTATCTTTTTAGCCTCTACAATACACAATACAAAGATATTTTAAAGTACATCCTATTTAATAACACCAGTGTTAAAGTTGATTATGCATAAAATTAAGTTGTTCCAACGATAAATTCCTTGTATTTTAAAGTCATTTTTTATGAGTTATGCACATATTTCCGTATTTATGAACACAAATTTTGATAAACATTTTTAAAATTAAGTTGCTCCAATTATATTTCCTCTACCAGCGGGAGAGGGAAAGTGACGTAGAAGTTACCGAAGCCGTGCTAGGAGGATGGGTGTGTTGTACAATGTAGAGCTGGTCATTATGTACTATGGTGCAAAGATGACGGCAATGAGTTACTATTCTTGTTCATGTTTTTGTTCATGTAGTAGCTTGTAAAAAAGCATTTCATTCAGCAACAAAACTTTTCCTGATTTATCTATTTATTTTAAATTTTAGACTAAAGTTGTGTATTTTGATAAACATATAAGTCTTGAAAACAAAAACAACAAATTTAATAATACACACAGTAATAAACTGGTGCAATTACCTTCAACATTGTGTTAACCAAGCCCATCAAATTAATGTTGAGACTTTAAAAGATTTATCTAAGTCAATAAATCAGAATTTTGCCACCATGTAAGTGGTGGGAATAGGTTTCCTGAATTCCTGTTTAGAATGTGTCTCATTAGAGGCAACCCATTAAAAAAAAGTTAAGAAAATCTGTGATGAAGACCCAAGTTTAGAGTTTGTTGTATAACAGCCTCGGCTACAGATTGATTAGTAAATGGAAAGAAAATTGCAACACATATTTGCAAATTGCACATTTTTGATGAAATTGCAGTTCAAACAATTAGTTGATTAAATGAAGAGTTGTACTTAATCAGTGACAATTTTGACAATCTTTTAATCATTAAAGTATATTGTTAAGTAAAAATATTAAAAAATATTAGGTTTGAGCATCTCAAATCAGAAAATTTGTTGCTTTAACCCTTTGAAATCCCAAACATTAATTTTATTGAGTTATTTTTCTCATTGTAAGCTGTTTGCTCTGATGAAGAATATTTATATATTTATTTGTTTTTGAAGGATTTTGAGGGGGGAAAAATGCAACAGCAGCTCTAACAATTATTAAGAACCATCAGACTCAAATTTGTAATTTTAACAAAGTTCAAAGATTATTTGGCATCGGTAAACTAAAAATATATTTCTTAAGAATAATTTTGTTGACATGAAACTGTTAAATAGACTGGTGACCTGTCCAGGGTGTCCCCTGCCTTTGCCCTCAGTCAGCTGGGATAGGCTCCAGCCCCCCCACAACCCTAATGAGGATTAAGCGGTGTATAGATAATGGATGGATGGATGGATGGATGGATGGATGGATGAAACTGTTAAATGCATTGCAATGAAAAATAACAGTAGAGTTTTTCCTGTGAGCTACAATCAAGTCAGAGATTGAACATTTTTCATACTTAACACATGATATGTGATTAATTTACATGCACACACATAAATGCATACTTCATAAATACTTTTTGAACATGAGTTCATTTTGCTGATAGCACTACTTCAATTAGTATTTTTATTCTCAGTTCATATCATTTTGAAGATCCCTCATTATTGGATTTCAAAGGTTGTTGTTGATGATGGTGATAATTCTGAGATTACATCAAGTGGATTATGTCTGGATTAAATCACCTCAGCTGTGACAGTTTCCTAGATTAAACTGTTAGCTGGTTAAACTGAGTTGTTATTTTTATTCTCAGTTCTTATTAGTTTGGTGGCAGTGATTTTCCTCTGCTGCTGGTAAAACCTCTGTGGGGGAACCAGAGATTCCAATATGGAGGAAAAACCGTGCACTGTACTGAGTAGTACACTTTACTCACTCCCTGAACACCAGCACTCTGTTTGCTAGTGTTGGGCTCTTTGAACTAAATTCTTTAAAACCATGTGAATAATTTAATTTAAAAACTGATTTCTGAATCAGCGATGTGTCAGAACAATTTTAGTACTGAGTTTTCAGATGCTTTTTTGTTTTGTTTTGGCTTAAGTTGCAGCAGCAGATACTTTACATCTGCCTTTACCTCTGTGCTATTACACCTAAATGTCAAAGGATTCGCAATTGTATCAGATTTAAAACAACTGCATTACCTCTAAGTTAAACAGTATTAACAGATAAACACAATTTGCTCACGCATCATCATAAAGTAACAGTTTAGAGTGTTTACTGAAAAAAAGCCCTTAAAATGGAAACAATAGAACAACGGTGATTCCACCTGAGGCAAAGGTTAGAAAATGCATCAGTAACCAACTCAAGATTTAAGGAAACACAGTTGCAGCAGTAATCAGGAGGTATAGAAGGAGCCATAGTACCTCTAATCAGGGCTGCAGTGGTCGTCCTCCTACAATGTCATCACAAACAGACGCTACTTTTATAATCTAGCTCTGAAAAACAGACGTCCAGCTGCTTCAGACTTGGCACAGGAGTTATCGATGGGAATCAGAGTTTCTGTGACAGCTCAGTGTGAAGGACACTTTATAACTTTAAACTCTATTGACAACATAAAAAAAACCACCCTTTCTTTCTGTTTGGTACAAAACTGCAAGAGGAAACTTTACTAAATGTCATGAAGAGATGCCTGATTAATGCTGGGAGCACAGTGTTTGGTCAGATCAAACTAAGATAAATCTGTTTTGCTCAGATGAAGGGCAACATATTTGGCGTGAACTTGACAAGGACTACCACAGTGAGTGCATAGTCATGACAGTGAAACACAGAGGTGGGAATGTGATAATATTGGGCTGCATGACTACAAACAGTGTTGGGGAGATGACATTCATCCATGGCACCATAAGTACCTGTGGATAAACCAAAACACTGGCTGACCCGATGACTCCCAGTCAGCAGGAACTTGGCAGAAGAGGATTATTCCAGCATGATAATGGTCTAAAGCACAAATTCACACAAGAGTTTCTGAAAAAGAAAAAAGTGAAAACAATGACCTGGGCAAGTATGCTGCCTGACTAGAATCCAATAGATCAGCTTTGGGGTATTTTAAGGAGAAAGGCAGAGCAACACAACCGCTCCAGCAAAGAGCAGCTGAAAAATGTAGACATTTGGACTCAGCTGCAGAGTTTTTCCTGGCTCAGAATGATCAGTAACCATGATCAGGTCTACATGCAGTAAAAACAATGAATCTGTGTTACCTTATTTGACTGAAATCTCTGTATTTTCCTATCACTTCTGATTGTTTCTCACTCGCTAAAACCTCTTTAAAGGGGCTTTGCAGAAAATCTCTGCACTGTATTCAGTGTGCTGCCATATATGACAAAGAAAATGATCCGAGAATGAGAATGTTTGGTTAAAAAAATAAAGAAACTAAAATGAATAAAGTAGCAAAGATTAGCAGATTATCTTTCTCTTGATGAAGCCTAACGATTACTAAATAAATACTTCTTGCACTTCTGGTGTTGCATGTTTTTTCCTGCACCGCTACTAGCGATAAAACATGTTTGTTTTTCATGTGTGAAGGCCCACTGTAGGCCTTCCCATTGCAGTGCATCAACAGAATGTAAAATACAGGAATATTCACTTGTGGTCTTGCACTTTTGTACTTCACTGCAGGATTTTCCTGTTTCAGAATGATCAGTAAGAATGCTACATGCAGCAAAAACGATGAAATCTATTCCTGTTATTTCTGACTATTGGACAAACATAGACATCTTTCATGTTTGAGTAAATACAACCCCAATCAAGCAAACTGGGTCAGCCTTGAATCAGTGTTTTCATTTTCAGGTCTTATCATTTGGCACAGGTGTTTTTGCTTTGAGGCTGGCTCAAACCTCTTTGCATCTCTGCAGGAAAATCCCTGCACTTTATTCGGTTTGCTGCCGTATATGACGGAGAAACTGACCAAAGATTGCTTTGTTTTCTTTTTGCTTGGAACAAAAATGAATATTACTTTTCTGTTGATCAACTCTAACGATTACTTCATGAATGCTCCCTGCCCTCCTGGTGCTTTTTCTGCCCTACCACAGGCTAGAAAACATGCCTGTTTGTCATGGAGTGAGAGTGTGGAGGCCTACTTTGCAGCCCTGGAGGCCCTCAGCAGCAGTACCACTGCTGGCCAGGAAACGGCGCTGCGTTTCCACCGAAACAACACACACATGCATCCCAGTGGGGCAAGTCGACAGAAAATGTAGTGTGTTGTAATATTAATTGTGCTGCTTCGTGACTGCTGGGATACAATGTGGAGAAAAAAAACAACTTATAGATGGAGCATGAGGTGGATACATGAAGCCAGTTTGCATGCCGAATTTTCTGCAATGAGGCTTCCTAAAAATCCAAGACCTTAAATTGTGCCTGTTTCAAGTGCCCTCCTCTGGGAAATCTCCTGCAAGCTCACTGGTCGATGCTGCTCCCAGTAAATCACAAAATAATACGAATCTAAAGGGGAGTGGCGTTCACAGTGTGGTTAGCTGGACATGCAGATGGCTTAAAAATGTTAATATCTCCCCAAAACATGCTATAATAATAATAAAATACAGCTAATAATGCCCACAGTGTTCCTAATAATGTGGTCCGGCTCCGGGCAGCTCCGAAGCCGCTCCGGGTTTTACGAGCCTCTCCCCGCCGCAGTGGGAGGAAGTCGGACCACAAAGCAAGCAGAGCCACCGTGCTAGCAAAAAACAAAAAACACAGAAAAACACTTCGAAGGGGGGACTTCAGCGTAACATGTGCTATATCGGAGCTGAAAACGCTTAGTCGAAAGCAGCGGACTGGCAGCACACGGCCCCGGAGGCAGCGCACGGACACTCGGCTGAAAGTAGCCGAGTGTGGGCTCCCCCAGCGCGGAAAGCCTGGTAGGCAGGAGACAGTTAGGGCTGGCGCGGAGCACGACGACCTGCTTGGGTTTTTTTTTTTTTTTAATTCCGCCTCCAGCAGGGTGTCGTGTTAGTTTTTTAACATCTACCCAGCGTGGTTTCAATTGCCCCTCTGGCCTCGCCGCCGCCTTGTCGGTTAACCGCAGTTTACGGACGAAAAGTTACCATTTAACGAGCGAACTACCAGGCGATCCTCATCCCAGCGCTCCCTCCCCCTCCTCCGCCATCAAGCGTCACCGTCAGCCTACAGTCGGTAGCTCAAAGCTGGGTCTCCAGGAGAGGAGAGGAGAGGAGCGGAGAGGAGAGAAGAGGAGGAGTCACTCTCCTCTGAATGATAACTGAGCAAGCAGCCATGGATTATTTTTATTTCTGTTTTTGAGTCCGGCGGACGGTTGAAGACTGATTCTCGGAAACGCTGCGAGACTTCCCCAATAGGAGTCGCAGCCGTTAGCTTGAATTCGAGCCAGTGTTGGTGCTCGGCTAGTGTTTGTGACTGCAACCAGGCTCGTTTTACTGAAAAATCCGATTTAAAACAATCGAAATTGTACTATTGTAGCGTGTTTACCCACTCTGGCGCTTATTAGCCTTCGAGCTAGCAGGTTTGCTCTCGCTAGCTAGCGCGGTGGCTAACTAGCCGACAAATATCGATATCGCCCAGCAGGCTAAAACTAGTTAGCCCTCTCTCGGACGATTTGGCTGCTGATTAGTTAAATACAGCCTATCTCCTGGACTGGATTAGGTGTTAAACCTATTAAGGTTGCTGTATTTTGTTTTTACTTGTATGTGTGTGTGTGTCTGTGTGTGTGTGTGATTAATGACAGGAAAGGAAGGCAGCCAGCAGCATAAACAGCAGAGGTGTGTGGATTTTACGGAGTCCTGGCTCATCTTGTGGTTTTATTTGTGCCAAAACGCGGCTGTCAGGGAGATTTGCATTTCTCTGGTGCACCAGCCATCGAGGACAGCGAGCCACGGCACCCCGATGGTGTACATCTCAACCTGTCCACCCCACCAGCGTCCTCCCTCCTCGGTCTCCCCCTTTTTCTCTGATCGCTGTTGGAGAGGCAGTTACACGTGTCCCTGTTTTATTCCTGTAATGTAAAGCTGATTTTCTGCGAAGAAGAAGCCAGTCACTGTTTTTTTTTCTGACTGACTGCCACTGGCTTTCACTAAAATTAGAACATTTTTTTTTCTTCTGCTGCACAGTTGTTTACATTTTAAAGGAAAACCCCTTGAAACACATGCAGCTCTGGAGACACACCAGTCGTTTGGACACATTTCCACTAAGAGGACCAGGGAAGTCCCCGGAGACCTGTAGGATTTGACAGCTGCCTTCAGGTCCTGTATGAGACGTATCACAGTGCTACAAAGCGAGGCCTCTTTTCCTCGCATTATTTCCCACCTTTCCTGCTCGCCAACCCGCGCTTAAAAACCTGCGTTTTTGCACTAAATGGGATTACAAGCACGGTGATCTGTTTCTAGAGTAACCTGTCACCCAGATGTCTTCCCTCGTGAATTTCCTTTTTTGTGTCACAATGATGGTAGTTTGAAGTGCACAGACTGTACAGCCGCAGACAACGACGCCTCTTTCCAGTGGATGGTCAGCCCCGCCGTGCGCCAAACGCACCCCGGCCCTTGATGTTGGTGCTATCTGCTGGAGGAACACATTGTTTTCTAATTCTCTGAAACAAAAGCCAACCCCAGCCCGGTTATTCTATCGATTTGGTCGTGCCAGGGTCGAAAGATGGCGGACCTCGAAGCCGTGCTCGCCGATGTCAGCTATTTGATGGCGATGGAGAAGAGCAAGTCTACTCCAGCGGCCCGGGCGAGCAAGAAAATCATCCTTCCCGAGCCCAGGTAAGCACATTTACAGGGGAGCTTTAACGCAGCGCTGCGGCCCGGAGCCTGTGTTTGTTAGCTTGTCAAATGGATGGATGTTTAGTGCATGGTGTGCAACCATACAGGGAGATGGAGGCGTGCTTCCTCTCCGACCTGACACTTGCTGTAGATGCTTTAACTGAAGTGACTGTGTCAATTGGGATTTCTGCAGAAATGCAGCACCTCTGGCTTCCTTAAACTACCAAAACAACCATGCAGCCACTTTAATTGCACTTTAATTTATACCTGCAACTTACCAAGAAGTTATCCCAGTGTGGGCCTTTCAGAACATCTTACTACAAGGCAGGTTGTGATGCAGAATCTTTGCCACTTCTTTAAGTGTTGATGGTAGAGCTGCATCAATCTATAGATCAGTTGTCAGCTGTTAAATGAATCAACAACTATTTTGATTATTGAGTAATTGTTTCCGAGGAAGAAACTCTAAACTCTCTGATTGCAGCTCTCTCCTTAAATGTGAATAATTTATGGTTTCTTTCGTCCTTTATGACAGTAAACTGAATATGTTTTGGTTGTGGCCAAAACAAGACATTGGTCATCTTGGGCTTTGACTGACCTTTGTTCACCATTTTCTGACATTTCAATGACCAAGCAAATAATCAATTATTAAAGAAAATGATCAACACATTGATCTACAATGAAAATAATTACTAGACACAGCCCTAGTTCGTTATTTATATTCTTTCCTTGATTTGTTTTCTGTCAGATCTTTTGTAATTTGCTCACAGGCTTACTTAACTGACAATCTGTTCCTAAATGTTTTCGCCTCAATGAATAATCAATTAGTTGTAAGCCATTAAATTAGTCATCACCTAGTTCAATAACTGAGTCCTTGCTTTGAGCCATTTTTTCACAGAAAAAAGTCTTTCTCATTGCAGCTTATTAAATGCCAATATGATGTGGTGACTTTCCACCTCTCTGAGAGTAAACTCAATATCTGTGCCATCTTGGGCATTCAGTGACAGTTCTCACCATTTTCTGACATTTTATAGAGCAAACAACAAAGAGAAAATAATCCGTAGTCACAGCCCTCGTTGATGATGTCCTTTCCTTGATATGTCTTTTATCAAGCATCTTTCATTTGCTCGCAGGCTTGCTCAATTGACAATCCGTGCATAAATATGTCTTTTGTAGCCTGTGCAAGACATTTACTAAAGCTTGACTGTTGTGTTGCTGTAAGCCCCTCTGATGCGGTTACACTGTCACTATATGCAGCTCTTGATCCCCCCCCCATCCATGCTGTTTGCAAGCACCCAGCACGAGGAGGCCATCAAACAAGACTACAGCCACAATCTGATTTAAATAACCCCCCCCCACCTCTTACCATCTTACCATCAACACATTATTGCACATCCTTTTGTCCCTGCTGCGCAGCTTATCAGAGGCTTGAAAATGTCTCTTCAGACCTGGTTTATGGCATGTAGCGCGCAACTTGATTGAAGAGGATGTGGTTTAAATTTGGTTATTGAGATAGTTGCCTTTCATGCAGGGTTTGTAAATTTGACATCGCCCTTTGAGTTTAGTCAAATGTTAAAGCACTGTGTTTGCAAAGGAGATCTTAGCCGGTAGCATGCACCACTCTCCGGTTGTGTTTTCACCATTTCTTAATTGCAACTTTTACCGACACATGTGTAGCGGCTCTGCTTGGTTGACTGCAGAGTGTCAATAAGGGTTAAACAAAAATAATATTTAAACCAGGGGTGATTTTTGGAGGAGGAAGTCCAGTTATTTTAGTTACTCACTGACTTGTCTTGGCAGATCAGCAGAAATCAGTGATCCAGACAGTTCATTACACACAGTAATGAATGTGGAGCTGCTGATTATTTCAACTGAAATGATGTGATTAAAGGATGTTCTATAATATCTAATTAAACTTGCATGCCTAGATATATTGTTATTCATATGTTGTAGGGTGGTAGGTTATAAATGAATATATCTGTCATGAAAAGCAGAAATGCCCTACCCTCTCGCAGCTTTACTGCACAGACAAAGGCTCTCAGGGTTTGTAATGAATTCTCACCTCTGGCGGTGCTTGACAACAGCGGCTGATTGTCTTTCTTAACTGGCAACTGTCAACAGTAACTAGTTAACATCAAAGTGCTCAATATATGTCATATTTTACATAACAGAAGTTACCAACCAGAGCAGGATTTTCACATTGTTCAGCCTGTTTTATTCAAATCTCATTAACTTGGCATCACTGCTAACCATTAGCGAGGGTTTGCAAGCAGTTAAAAGTGTGTTTCCTTCCTTCAGGCTGCTGTTGGTTTCAGTTCGTGTCAGTATGGTACTAAAATGAACCTGCAGAAACCTGAAGCTTGCTTGAGACCGCCAAATCCATTCAGTGAACATGCTGTCACATTTAATGTCGGTCAGGACAAAATTTTGTTAAAGTTGCAGAATAACACAGTTGCGGTGTGGCAGCTAATGCATTCCCCGGGCTTTATAGTAAATATGACCACCACTCTGCTTTCAGAGTAGAGGAATGACGTACACAGTAACTTGGTCGGCGTAGCTAGAGACCAACTGGATCAACTGAACAAATAATCTGATATTTTTCAGCCAGACTTCAGTTTCAGAGCATGACCTTGTTTGGATTGTTTGCTGATTCTAACAAATTTGCCCTAAAGAAGGAGGAGCATGGTCGCTGGTTGACCTTTTAGCCTGTTTGCTCTAAAAAGTTTGCAGCTTGCAACCAGTGCATGCAAATGTATTAAGTTAACATTTTTGTATGTCTAGAGATGGACTGGTTGACAGAACTGAAAAGTTGATAAGGAGAAAATGTTTAATTTCACTCTATTGAGAGATATTGATCATTTTAATGACCTATTTTTAACGAAGAGCAGTAAAATAAAAGCTTAATCTGAATTTAACCACTTGAAACAGTTTAAAAAATTATTATTATTTTTTTTAAATGAGCTTTCATGGAGATTTGAATCTGATGCATTTAAGTGAAACTATTAAACCTTCTATCTAAGTGTCTACTGCTGGAACAGAATGCCATTAGCTGTTTACATGTGTTACTTGGAAATCATAGCAAACTGAAAGTGTGCTTTTAGTAACATCTTTGTGTATTTATGCAAATGAGTATTACGCTACAAAAGTACGTATTTTTTAAAGTTTCTGCGTGACAATTTTCGACCTTGTTACTGCAGTTAAACTATGACAAACTGGAATCGAGCTGTAACTGCTGTATTTATAGGCATCTCTTAAGCCTGCAATGATTATAGCAAAAACAATTATCTTGAATATTTCATCAATAATGAGATCTTGATTTTTCATAGATTTTTACAGACAAAATATGTTTATAGCATGTTCATGTTTAAATAAACAGAGTGCTGCTTATACAGCCATATTGTGCTACATTTCTGCTCGTGTACGAATCTGCGTCAAAATAAAGAAAAATCTTAATCTGAACTCAGAGCATTTCCTAGAGGCTTAATATGAGTAAAATTGTGCCCGGCTGTTCACAGAGAAGCCTCTAGTCTCCACTCAGTTACTACAATGCAGCAGGTCAGACAGCTTTGCGACCACAAATTTGTTTAAAAAGAGTGTAATAAGGAGTTCAAATGTGAGATTGAGCCAAGTTGAAACAAAGTGATTTTTTATCTACGGGGTATGTTTTCTCCAAGCAGAGAATTTTAAACAAGTATTGTAGTTGTTTGTATTTGTTGCATTTTGGGAAGCCAAAATTGTGACTAATGTTCAATTAATTTTTTAGCCCTACAGCCTCCTGTCATATTTGATGTTAGTTTTTCTCAGTCGCTTTGGTATATTTCTCAGTTTAGAATGGAAATTCTCAAAACTACTTGTTCTGTCTTCAAATCATTACATCACTTGTGCACATCAAAAAAGCAATTTATCATTTCTTTGAACAAGTTCTAAATGCTTTGGTACATCCATGCAAATGATTATGTACAATTCTCTATTTCCTACATTATCAGCTGCTTATGTTATGCTGATCAAAATGTAGTATAATGGGTCTCTGTTGAATAGTCTCACCTCCACAATATTTAGGCATTCGTTCATCGCAAGTCTTTTCATGCAAAATGGTTGAACAAGTAGTCATCATATGTCGAGCATATTTCTATACATTTCCATTCGACTTTTTTTCTACAATCTGTCCAAATTGGTCAGTTGCTCCTAGGTGTATCTTGACTTTCTCTAATGAAGGGGTATGTGTGTAGCATCACATAAATCAACCAATGATCAACCAGTTTTCTGAAGTAGCTCAAAGGTGCATCTTATAAACCATCAACTGGCAAGTACATAGGAAGACTGCACTGTAATTCCTACCACACTGCATGTACAGTTTTCCCTAGCAGATTGTCCTATGTAAGGCTACAACGATTAGTCGACAGCGTTGACAATAAAAATTTATCGACGTGTCGTGTTGTTAACGTCCTGTAAAGGCCTTGATAATAAAACACTGCACCAGGCATCTTAACACCGTCCCCAGAAATGCTGGGGGCAGTACTGTCACTATTTGCAGTGTCTGTGTTCTCAACCAACAAAGAAAAACTCAAGACTGGTAGTGGTGCAAGCCTTTCCAAAGTTTGGGAATATTTCAAGTTAAATAAAGTGTCAAAACAGGTGAAATGTACAGTCTGCCACACAGAGTGGGCATACCACGGCAGTACGACAGTCACGCATGAGCGTCTGAAACGAAAGCACCCCAGAGTCATGACTCCCAGCGTTCCGGATGGGTAAATTAGCATTACCTTATGTATTTTTGTTTACCTTGCGAGAAACTAGCTACGTACTTCAGGATGACATTAATCATTTCGAGGCCATTTCATGAAAATTAACGTGTGAAGTGCAATAGAACACCGAATTATAAAAGTGTACAGCTTCCCTGACAGTGCTAACATTAACTGTAATCATTTTTTAAGACCACAAAGACAAACAAAACAAAAGCCTGCCGCTTTGGCCAACGTAATCATTTATAACGACGACAGCAG